ATCCTCACAACCATGCTGATAGGAGCTATGATATTCCCATTTTACAGGTAAGGAGACTGAGGCAAACAGCAGTTAAGTGACTTGGCCAGTAAGTGCCAGAGGTAAGATTTGGAGGCCCAGTTCTCTATCCACTGTACCAGTGACAAGGCAAAGCTTGGGAAGACTTACCTGAGCTTACGAAAAGTTAATTAGTAGAAATCAGGAAAATAATACACACAGTAACTATGACAGTATAAATAGGATCAAAGACAACAACAAAAATGGAAATTGATGACTTCTTCTAGGAATTTGCCTATGAGAGATCTAGAATGCTTGAGCTTGGGGCTCTTTCTTTACCACACAGATTCTGTTTCTTTTATAGATAGCAATAATGGTAGATTGTACACTGGTTTAATCATTACCTATAAAACAAGCACATGAAATGAGCTTTCTTATAGAGAGATCCTTCTGTCTCAGTTTTTCCCTCTAGACTCTGATAATGGAGGTAGAAGGTTGGAAGGGGCAGCTTGATAACCCAGGATTTACCGAACTCGGTCACTTCATGTTCCCCTGACAACAGAAAAGAGTAACCCTTCTAATCATAGACTTGGATTATAATGAAAGTCAGAGAAGTAATATTTTCCACTTGGAATAATAGCAAGAAATTGGGGTTTCCCAACATGATAGAAAATGGGATGGCCTTAGGTTATGTACATGTGCCCATTTCCTCAGAATGACTCTTGATATGTGGTCTCTCTCCCCACCACAATCCATGCCAGGTTGTCTCATTCCTCAGACCAATCCTGAGGGTTCTATTGATTGAATCTTTAGAACATTCTTAGTTACCAAGGTCTTTGGCCAGGTGTGTGATTAATTGCTAAGGTGTTCAAGGAATCTCCTCCTTTATTCTTGAGATTCCAAGTCACTCCAATGAATGTGAATTTCTTTCCCATAGAAGATACATTTGAGTCAGCTGAAGAGACGCAATGGCAGGTTTAGCAAGCATCAGAAGGAACCCATAGTTATCCAGAATGCAGCATGGAGTAATGATGGGAGCCCTGAACACTGAGACAGGAAACCCAGGTTCATCTAATCCTAACTTTTCAACAAAGTGGCTATGAGATCCTGCACAAATCACTCTACCTTTTAAGGGCTAAGTTTTCTCGTATATAAAATGAGGAATTTGTTGTTCAGTTGTTTCAGTCATGTCTGACTTTTCATGACCCCAGTTGGGGTTTTGTTAGCAAACATACTGGAATGGTTTGCCATTTCCTTCTCCCAGCTCATTGTACAGATGAGGAACTGAGACAAACAGGGTTAATTGACTTTCCCAGGGCCACACAGCTAGTAAGTGTTCGAGCCTGGATTTGAACTTCCTGATTCTGGGCCCAGCATTCTACTGCACCATCTAGAAGCCTTTACAAAAGAGAGAGCTTAGAGTAAATTAATCCTAAGGTCTCTTCCTTTAATACTATTTCTATAAGGAAGGAACTTTGGTTGCCAGACACTATAGCTAGCCCTATTCTACCAATGGTTTGCCTCTGGGGATTACAAAAAAAAAAAAATTAATTATTTTTTAGCCCTAGAATCTAAGCAAAGTAAATTATTCACTCAGAAGGATTAAAAGCACACCCAAAGAGCACCCACCCCAAAGTTTACAAAAGCAATCTATATGGTTGGGTGGAGTTATACTGCATATAATACTCCTAAGTTACTTGCAGTAATACCAATGTAAATTCCCTAGTGTTGACCCACCTTTAACTTCTGTAAGAGAAGAGAAAAGGGGAGAGTCGGAAAAGCCAAACCAAACGAAAACGGGCCAGTGAGAGAACGTGTTCTTAGCTACTCATGGGGCAGTGTACCCCAGGTGGGAAAGCCACCAGGGAAAGAGCTGTTTCAGTGGTCCCAAAGGGGGTTTAAAATGGAATTCCTAATTCCGTTCCTGGTCTGAGCAGAGTTGCATCTTATGTAAGATTCTGGCAGGGAGAGGGCTCAGGCGGAAGCGGGTTTCCAACACCGTATAATCATCTTTGATTTCTCTGTTTGTTCAGCCGCCTTCATGTGGCTGGGGAGGGAGAGGAAGAGGGAGGAGGAAGAAGAAGGAAAGATTCCGACACGCTGAAGTCTTCTGTTTCTCTCGGCAGAATAAACAGGCCATAAAATAATCCCCAAAGCGGATGAACTGCCCCAGTAACTGACAAACAGATGGCGGTCCTTTTTGTTGGAGGGTAAAGGGGGTGATTCCTGAGGATGCAAAAAGAGCCGACTGAAGAGACCATTGGGTGACCTGCAGCTGAATCCACGAGGAGGACGCGTGAATAGGCTACGGGGGCTTGGGGCGGTCTTTGCTGCAAGGGCTGTGAAAACCTCTCTAGAAACTAACAGTTAGAACTGACATTTACAGCGTCTTAGGGTTTGCAAAGTACTCTAGATATTAGCTATTATCATGTGGTTCATTGAGACTTGGAATCAGGAAGACGTGAGTTCAAATCCTAGCTCTGACATCAACTAGCTGCGCGCTTCCGGGCTAGTCCCTTAACCTGGCCCATCCTCAATTTCTTTATCTATAAAATGGGAATAATAATAGCACCTACCTCACAGGGTCGTTGTGAGTAGCGAATACGCTATGTGTGCAAGCCCTTTGCAAACCTTAAAGTTGCTATGTGAATGCTGGCTGTTATTATCTCCTTAGATCTGAGGACCAACCCTCTGAGAAAGGTGTTGCTGTCTTTGTTTTAGAGATGAGAAAACCGGGGTAGAGAAATGAAGTGACTTTAACTTAGGTCACCTCTGGGATAACAATCCCATCTTTCTGGAATCCAGACGATGCCTTCTCTCCGGTATGACAGGCAGACTCTGAAGCTCTCACTTGCTAGCTGTGGCCCCACAACTTCCACCCACATCTGGAGCTCCAAGGTTCTGTTTTTCTTTTAATATCAATGTGGCAGCTGAATTAGTTTGTTGGACCTCACTGTCCCAGGGCAGGGTCCTGATTCCCTTGAAATCGTCCCTGTTGGAATGGACAGTTTACGCAGCAGTCTGTCTCCTGGCTGAGGACAGCCTCCAGGCCCTCTCCCATGCCAGGGAACAAGGGTCTGCCACACGTGCCGGTTTTCCTCCTCCCACATGTGGCCCCGAATTTATCTAGTCCCTCCTAATTTACAAGCTTGTTCATGGCCTCATCTGGGTCATACCCATCTGTATCTCTCCTACAATATCTAGCTTCATAATAAAAACTTAATAAATTCTTGTTGAATTTAATTGATACTGGATATAGAGGTTGTCCAAAAATTTGGGCCTTATAAATCCATCTTCAACAATTCAAGTGAAATATAGGCATTAATACCACTTAAATCATCATAGGAACATAGATTCAGAGCTGAAATGAACCTCAAGAGTCAATTAGATCAACCCTCTCACTTGACAGATGAAGACACTAAAGCCTAGGAGGATTAAGGGCCTGGGATCACAAATAGTAAATGCCAGGATTCAGACTCACGTCATCTGAATCTAAATCTGGTATTATTTTCACCAAAGCATGTTTTTCTTTCAGTGTTGACACCCACGTGCTAGTGTCGGAGGAGGTACCGAGATAAATAAAACACATCTTTGTCCTCAAGGATAAAGCGGACAAGCTAAATGTATGCACAAATAAATATAAGATGAATTAGTATGAGTGCCTACAGAGTGCTTTGAGATCAGAGAGAATGAGATCGCTTCTATTTGTTTGTTCACTATACTCACACTTATCACCCAACATATCCATGCTTTTGACTTTAAGACCCTACTCTGGTACTCATGGAATGATAAAAGACCTAAGGGATGGTCTCAGTTCCATTGGACTAATTTTCCATGAAGGATTTATGGAATTTATGAGCGGCACACATGATGAAAAGTGGTTGCATTGCAATCATTGCAAGGAGTACCTATATCACTATTGCAAGTAATTTGCAAATCCATACCCATCACATCTCTTCCAGTTCCAGAAGTATAGATAAGCGTGTACAGAAATCCCTCTTTTTTTTTTTTTTTTGCTCCCACTCTTAAAGCCAAGAAGAGCTAGGTGAAAGTCCTGAATCTGATACATACCCTCTTTGTGCCCCTAGGCAAGGTGGCTTAATCACTCGATGCTTTCTTTAGACCAGTGGTGTGAAATGCAAATAGAAACAGATCCCTATTGTAGCACCTCGACTTAGAAAGCCACAAATTAACATTATCTATGTTGTATTGTACTTTTATTTATCTTGTCAAACATTTCCCAATTACACATTAATCTGGTTCTCCGAGTTTTGTGGGCAATTAGTTTGACCTCTCTGCTCTAGGCCACTCTCCAGGATTGTAAATTGCAGAAAAAGTGCCCACCAGCATTGAGAAGAGGGAGTTTCTTCAACGAGGAGTTCCCGGAGCAATCTCAGGTCTAGTTCCTGTCTCTAAATTACCTCTACTCATCCACCATCTACTTTGTATTAGTGTTATGATCACTTCATACTGACTGTTAGGTTAGATTGGTACCATCAAACCTAACTTTGCAAAGGTTCAAATTTGATGTCAGCTAGTCATGCAGACCTTACATTACCCAATAGATCCCTTTCCCTTTATTATTATTATTTTTTTTAAAGACTGGTTTTCTCCATCCTCAGAGCAGCTAAGTGTCACATTGGACAGAATGCTGGATCTGGAATGTGGAAGACTCATTTTCCTGAATTCAAATCTGGTCTCAGACACTAGCTGTGTGACTGGACAAGTCACTTAATCCTGTTTGCCTCAGTTCGCTCATCTATAAACTGAGCTGGAGAAGGAAATGGCAAACTACGCCAGTATCTTTGCCATGAAAACCCCAATTGGGGTCATGAAGAGTCAGACATGACTGAAAAGTCTGAACAATATGAAATTCTCAATCTCACCCGGGCTAGATGTGTACTTGTTGGCCCCAAACCCTTGCCTATAGATACAAAAGTTTGAACCTGCTCCGTTTTTCCAACCTGGGCTGGTTTGCTGGCCCCCTGCTCCTCAGGGCTTACCATATTGATGCCAGGCTTAATGCAGACAGCTGATTGTGTTTAGTCCTCTTGCAGCTCAAAATGCCCAAATTCAACTGATCCATGTATCAGCCTCCCCGATAGTAATGACTATAAGTGTGCATGCCACCACAATCAACTCTTCTTTCAGGTTTTAACTCCACTGGCCAAGAAGTAGATCTGAAGCTTTTTTGAAAGACCAGTATTTCAACAGATGTTTATTGTATGAAGGAAGGAATACAGATTAGAATGCCAACAAGCCATAAATGTGATAGACAGGTAAGAATGTGATGTGCTTAAATGACACATTGTTATTATCTTTGTGGGGTTTTTTTCTTCTTCACAGATTCCCTTTGTACTTAGCATTGTTATTTTAAAATCTGTTTCCTAAATATCTGTCTACCTGGAATAGAAAGAAGCCAAAGAAATCTTCATGGAAGTTAAGGGAAGGGTGATGAAAGCCACAGAGCCAAAACACATCAGAGCTACAAGTGGTTGTAAAGGTCATTTAGTCTGACCCCTGTGCTTATCTTGTAGTTGAGGAAACTAGGGAAAGATTAGTGCCTTGTCCAGAGTCACTAATGCTAATAATAATAATGCTTCAGATCATCTTTGGGTGTTAAAAAAATTGAAGAAATCAGTATTACATATCATTTTGTGATATGGGCATAGGGGTAAAATGTTAAATTCTGCATGGTTTCTGACCCTGAAATACCATTACTAGGCTTAAGATAGAGAGAGAGGAAAAGAGAGAGAGAGAGAGAGAGAGAGAGAGAGAGAGAGAGAGAGAGAGAGAGAGAGAGAGAGAGAGAGAGAGAGAGGTTCCATGTGTACAAAAATGCTTATAACCGCTTTTTTTTTTCCTGGCAAATAACCGGAAGCTAAAGGGGTGTCCATCAATTGGGGAATAGCTAGACAAGTTCTGGTGTATAAATGTGATGGAATGCCATTGTCCTGTAAGAAATGATGAAAAGGATGGTTTCAGACAAACCTGGGAAGATTTGTATGAACTGATACAGTGAACAGTTTACTTTAAAATATCAGTATTATAAATTTAGTAATTCTAGGATGCTTGTTTTTCTAACTTGCTCACAAAAGATGTTGATCTATCGTATGCTTAAAGGGCACATTAGTTTAAATATATATTAGTTTAAATTATAGCTTAAATATGTATATATTAGTTACAGTATACATTAATATAAATAAGCACATATATATATAAGCTAGCATTTATATAGTGTTTTACAAATATCTCATTTTCATCCTCACGATCCTGGGAGGTAAGTGCTCTTATTATCCCCCTTTTACAGATGAGGAAATTGAGACACGAGGTATAGTGACTTGCCCAAGGTCACACGGCTAGTAATGTCTGAGACAGGGCTTAAACTGAAGTCTTGCTGACTTCAAGTCCAGGGTACCAACTAGCTGCTTGTCTAGGTAACAAAAAATACTTGTCCAGGACATAAGAATCCAGGCAGGTGATTCAGCACGGATTGGTAGTTGATGGAAAGGAGTATAAGACACCCCCAACACTTATCTCCGTTGCTGATAAGTAAAAAACTTCCGCACAGGTCCCTGTTCAAATGGAATTAGCCACAAAATTGTTCTCTAATGAAAATTCACTTACCTTTGCCAACTCTAATAAATGTGTGCCAGCAGGGAGGGTTTAGTAGACAACACAAGCAGCTGTGAGATTGGAGTAATAAAAATTACTCATATGTATACAATGCTTTCCTCACCACCACGCAGAGGATGAAAATAATGTGATCCTCATTTTACAGATAGGGAAACTGAAGCATAGATAGACTGACTGACTTGATCCCTTCCAATTCTAAAATCCGGTGATCCTTAGAGACCATTTCCTTTGACACTCCCGCCCACCAAACTCCATTTTAACAATGAAGCTGAGTTCCAGAGAGGTGAAAACAACTTGCCTAAGAGGCAAAACCAGAATTTAAAGCCAGGTCTTCTAGCTCCAGGGGTGATGCTTTTTCCACTACATTACATTGCAGTGATATCATCTGGGTGCTAAGACAGTAGGTGCTTTGTCCAGGGCCTCTTCTGGTTCTCATTGCTCAGTGACACAGGTCTGGACACTGAGCTTGCCTTGGGGTGGTCAGTTCACTTTCCCCTAACTGAGTAACTAGCATGCCTTGGAACAAGCTCATATTTGCTAACTTATAATGAAGAATATCAGTGTGTCAATAATAATAGCTAACTTTTATATAACGCTTGCTATGATCCAAGCCCTATGCTAAGCGCTTTACAGTTATTATCTATTTGCCATAGAGAATTAGATCTATCCAAAGACCTTTAATCAAGTCAAGAGGTATTTATTAAACACCTACTAAATGCCCAGCATGATATTAGGTTCTTTGTTGTTGTTGTTGTTATTCAGTTGTGTCTGACTCTTTGTGACCCCATTTGGGGTTTTCTTGGCCAAAGAGACTGAAGTAGTTTGCCATTTCCTTCTCTAGCTCATTTTATGGATGAGGAAACTGAGACCAAAAAAAAGTTAAGTGACTTGACCAAGGTCACACAGCTAGTAAGAATCTGAGGCCAGATTTGAACAAACCCAGACCTCCATCCACTGCACCACTTAGCCAGGTATACAAAAGAAACAGGAAATAGTTAAATTAGGGAGACAAAAGTAACATTCAGGAAATGTCTTGATAATAGCACAAGGAAGTAGAGAATCAAATGCAATACTATGTTAATAAGATCTTGTGTTTCTGTAGCATCTGGAAGCTTATAAAGTAATTCTTTGCTATGGTGCTATGAGATAGGTAATGTAAGTATCATCTGTACTGTGTGGATGAGGAAGCTGAGGTTAGAGATGTTAATAGACTTGTTCACACTTGCATAACTAGTAGCAGAAGTAGGACTTGAACTCAGGTCTCTTGGCTCCAAGTCCTCCATGCTTTCCACTAAACCACTCTGCTTTTCAACCATAACTACTACTACTACTACTATTACTACTACTACTACTACTACTACCACCATTTATATTTTATTTATTATATTGATATAATGTTATTAAATATCATAATAATTATATTATTAATATAATATATCGTATATTATGCTAAGTGGCTAGGTAACTAAGTGGCTCAGTGGATAGAGCATTGGGCCTAGAGTCAGGAAGACCTAAGTTCAAATTTGGCTTCAGATACTTTCTAGCTAGTTGATCTTGGGCAAGTCACTTATCATCTGTTTGCTTTAATCCACTGGAGAAGGAAATAGTGACCCACTCCAGTATCTTTGATGAGGAAAACCCAAAGGAGTCACAAAGAATTAGACGTGACTGAACAACAAAATGTAATATATTTATATTATGTTATGTTATATTACATTACATTACCTTACATTACCTTATATGTTACATTTTATATCATATTATCATATCATGTCATATTGTATTATATTATATTATATTGTATTGTATTATGCTATGTTATGTTATGTTACATTATATTACATTACATTACGTTACGTTACATTACATTATATTATATTATATTATATTATATTATATTATATTATATTATATTATATTATATTATATTATATTATATTATATTATATTATATTATATTATATTATATTATATTATATTATTATATACTACTATTCCTACTACTAATAGGTAGAGGTTTAAGAAAGGATATTTCTTTTCTAGAGGATTGGTATATGACAACCCTTATTTAAAAGTGTCTAGCACATCCTCTAAGATTTCTCTTCGCTGAAGTAATCATGACCATTCTTTCTTAAGATATAATATCTAATACCATCATCACTGTGGTCATGCTCCTTGCACTCATTCCAGCTTGTCAATATCCTTCTTAAAATGAAATGCAATTAGGGGCAGCTAGGTGGCGCAGTGGATAGAGCACCTGCACTGGAGTCAGGGGGACCTGAGTATAAATGTGCCCTCAGACACTTGACTTACTAGCTGTGTGACCCTGGACAAGTCACTTAACCTCAATTGCCTCACTCCCCCCCCAAAAAAAATGAAATGCAATGTCATCACATAGTTACTGCTTTATAAATGCTTGTTGATTGATTGATTGACTGCTTAGTCGGAGGTGAACTCAGTGAACACTATATCTGATCTGACCAAAGCAAGTATGTCTTGGCTGGCCTGTGTTATTTTTACCCCAAAGCAATCACTCCCAGCTTAATCCTGGCTTAATTCACCTAAGAACTACATTCCAGGGGTCCCTCCTGTGGCCCAGTTTTGACAAAAGCTCCCTTAGGATAAATTCATCCAAAGGAAGATGCCTTAGGCTAATATGCACTGGCCACTAGTCTGAGCTTAAATGTGCACTGGAATAAATTCTTCAGAATAATCAGAATGCTGCTTTCATCACTACTTTGTATACATGCCCCTAAAGTTGAATTAATAGGACCCACACCAAGAATCTGAAGCCAATAGCTCCTTGTATTTGAAGATCAAGACTGTTTATAAACTGCCTCTCTCTCTCTCTCTCTCTCTCTCTCTCTCTCTCTCTCTCTCTCTCTCTCTCTCACTCTCTCTCTCTCTCTCTCTCTCTCTCTCCCTCCCTCCCTCCCTCCCTCCTTCCCAAACTGGCTTTAAATGAGCCATTTCTAGTGACCCATCATTTGGTCACAGTACAAACACAAATACCCTTGTCTTGCATCAGCAACATAAGTAACACAATAAATGTGGATGTCCCATTTGAGACAGTGAGGTGGCTCAGTGGATAGAGCACTGGACCAGGAGTCAGGAAGACCTCAATTCAAATCCTATCTCAGTATATCACTAGCTGGGTGACCCTGACCAAGTCATTAAAGTCTCAGTTTCCTCATCTGTAAAATGAGGATAATAATGGCACCTACCTCCCAAGGTTACTGTGGGGACAAAATGAGATAATATTCATGACACGCTTTGCAAACCTTACAATGCTATATAAATGTTAGCTTTCTGTGCCAGATTTTCAAGATTAAAACAGGTATGAATTCATAAATAAAACATTTCAAAATGGCAGCAGTCTGTTTTCTAGTCCTGTCCACGTAATATCTTTTACGGGATGAATAACTATAGTCACTATATTTCTCCTCCTGGCCTGAACAGGAGTTAACAGAAAGGTTAATAGTAGGATTCTAGATTTCCCTCTTTTTCTTTAAGACCCTTCTCAAGATACATTCTTAGCAAGAAGCTGACCCCA